TTGGCAAGAGAAATTGATGTGTTGCATGTGCTATACAAGGATGTTTTTATCATCTTACGGTTTATGCGATTAGTATGTCATTATTGCAGTCTTTTTTCTTCATATCTAGTGACTACAAGTACATGCACTAGAATCATTATTCCATTAATTTAATATATCACTTTACAATAATAGTAGTAGTAGTAGTAGTAGTAGTAGTAGTAGTAGTAGTAGTAGTAGTAGTAGAAGTAGTAACATTTTAGTGCAGTAATTGTAGTAGTATATAGTAGTAGTAGTAGTAGTAGTAGTAGTAGTAGTAGTAGTAGTAGTAGTAGTAGAAGTGGTAGTAGTAATAGAAGAAGAAGTAGTAGTAGTAGTAGTAGTAGTAGTAGTAGTAGTAGTAGTAGTAGTAGTAGTAGAAGTAGTAGTTGTAGTAGTCGTCAAAGATGTAGTATCATTAGTAGAAACAATGAGGATTGGAAACTAGAAGTCTTCAATAATTATTTATTATGCAGTAACCTAGCAATAAACAAGTCAACAAATGCCATAATATTCAATTACTTCCACTACAAGTGTTGATCTGAATAAAAAAAGTAGATACAAATTACAAAATCAATTAAAGTAGAACCAAGATCCATTTTTCAGCCATTAATTCAATATGTCTCCACTGAGTCCAAACCTAACCACAAAACCCTCTAGGCTAAACCTATTTTTTTTTTTATGCCACTTAATGTATCGCCACCATTTTTTCCAAATTTCGCGGCGGCCTGCCACAGAAAAACTAAAATATGTGAATATTTTTTAGGGAAATCTCGGATAACACGCACAATGCTTGAGGGCGACTTATTAGCAAGGCAAAACGTGTATCGTCTTTTGTGGGGATTGCAAAGCCGTGCTCGAACAAGACACTTCATTAAGGGTGCGATTGTAGATGGGGTTACGAAGTAATGTGGGGTACCATCTTTGAGAGCGAGAAAGACGTACCAGTAAACTTACATCACTTTACGTAGAGTTTATATAAAGTACAGTCAAGCCTGTGTACAGCGACCGCCCAAGGGAAACACAAAAAGTGGTCTTTGTATATATTAGACAGCTAGGTTCCTTTAGTACATGTTTCAATGAGAAACCATTTTCAAGGGAAACAAAAAATGTGGTCCTCGTAGACAGGTGGTCTCTGTAGACAGGTGGTCACTAAAGCAGGTTTGACTGTACTACTTGGTGAATACAAGCAATGCTCCCATTGAAGTATGTGTCAGCCTTAGCATACCAATGTATTGTGAACAAAGTACAGGGCACCTTTGTAGAATGGTCAATATACTTGCATTGGGATATAGGGCTTTTTTATACAGGTGAACACTGTGTGTAGCTCAATGTCTTCTCTTTTTAAATGGTGTGCTTAGAGTCAGAAAGGCATTCATTTGCATTATTTAATACAGAGTTAACACCCTTCTGGCTCTCAACAGATAGTGATGCCTCAAAGTCGTTTTTAGCAAGGTGTATGTTCAGAATAGTGATTCAAAACTAATGGTGTACCTTGTAATGATGAAATTAGGGCATAAACTATATATATATATATATACATGCTTTGAGTTAACGCCGTTCTAGCTTTCAGAAATGACATACTTCTCAATTAAATTGTACCATGAACTGTTTGGAACAAGAAGGCATTAACTCATCATTTTACACATGCAAGATTAACAACATTCATGTTCCAAACACGCTTGATAAAACTTCACCTCTATTGTGCAATCTGTACCAGAACCATGAGAGATGGCTGTTAGTAGCAGAAGGACTTTGTTCATGAACTTATACAACCCTCTTGTTCTGAAACCAACCCAAGTTCTATATCGAAGGCTCAAGTTCATACACACCAACTGGAAATGATACCATGGGGCCAGGCATCATCTCCAAAATTGATAGAAATAGAGAAAAAGATGAATATTATTTTTTTATCTAATGATAAGAAAGGAGGAAAAAAAAACAACAAACAATATTGCTTCTCGTTCTCGGAGAGAAAATGAATTTCTGCGTTTCTCCGGCCGCGGATCTCTACGGTTGTCCCCCTCGACAAAGTCATCGCAATAATATCTTGGCCGCTCGAGCTTCATCGTGTTTAATTAGATTATTCCCCGGTCTTGTCAAGAAAAAAGAGAGTATTTTAATTAGAGAAGAACAACATTGATTCTTTATGAATCAATAATTTGTTTGCCTGCGGGGCAAGGCATACATGTATATGAGGTGCAAAGCTATATAGTGCAACATGATGTAATTTCGCAATATGTTTTTTGGTGAGGATAATGGCATGCCATTGTGGATGACTGTAGGATGAAGTAATTTACACAGATGGTATTTGGGGCAGGAGTTCTCATAAGCTGGTTGAGGTATAGGGGTGGAGGGAGAGAGAGAGAGAGAGAGAGAGAGAGAGAGAGAGAGAGAGAGAGAGTGTGAGAGGGCAAGAGAGAGGGGAAAGAGGAGCTTTGGTCGTAGTTATCAACAAAGTAAGAGTACAGGAAAGAGAGAGAGAGAGAGAGAGAGGGGGGGGGGGGGAGGAGAGGAGAGGGAATGAGTAGTAATACAAAAGTAGTTCAGGGGAGAGTGGACTTCGAGAAAGATATAGATTAATAAATGGATACATAAATAGAGGGACAGAGAGAGAGAGAGAAGCTGAATGATAGAAAAAGAAAATACTTGTAACAAATGACTACTAGCACAAATTGCCTAATGCAAACAAAGCTTATCTAGAAGCTAATTCTATCAAATGACATTTTAGGCAACTTTGCTGTCAAAGTTTACCTTCTGTCAATTTTCTTCTCCTAATCCTTTTAAAGACCACTGTCTTGTATAAGAATGTGATGGACATACAGCTACAAAAAGTCCTTATGGCTTAGTGTCGTTAAATACATGTTTTGCAAATGGAAACCAATGGACCTACTTGTGAATAGGAGAGCGCCCTGTCTTGTGACAATGGGGGTAAAATTGCCCCTCTCTCTAATCTATTGTTGGTCCATCTGGTACCAACATGGACCCCCAGTGTTAGATCCCCTGTCCCTCTAACAAGAGAGAGAGAGAGAGAGGGGATAGGATTTAGGAGATTAGAAAGGGATTAAGGGTATTAAGAAACAAAGTTTGACAATATTCATAATGGCTAACTCCTTGTCAGTTTTAGCACTTAAAAGCATAATTTAAATTCCCTCTTTCAAGTTTCACCACAAGTTTCACCTTGCTGATGAACTCTTGATAGTTTACATTTTGTGTAGTTTTGAATATCTTCAGTAAAATGATGTTTCTCTTGAAAATGACAACAATTGAAATTGTAATAAAAAGGGTCATGTAAAATGTAGGCCTACATATTAAGGTACATTACAGTTCTGTTTCAACCAAAACATCTGTGAGAATGACCCAATTTTGCATTCCCATAGAGAGAGAGAGAGAGAGAGAGAGAGAGAGAGAGAGAGAGAGAGAGAGAGAGAGAGAGGGGGGGGGGGGGTGGAGGATTCATAAAGAAATTAAACAGTTGGATATATATATATATTCATAAAGAAAGAATGAAATAGATCTTAAACATAGAATTATATTCATAGAGAAGAGAAAAGAAGAAAGACATCTGGGGCCACTCTATAAATTATTCTGATTATCTTTTCAGTGGAACCTAAAACATATATATCCTATTTTCCCAGGGTCAAATAATATATTCAAATACCTCCCAAAGTATATATTTCTCTCACCCTCAAAGTATATCTGGCCTTCAGCATTATAGTTATACTCATTGTAGTATCACAGGTTTTTGTATTCTGTTTTTGGACTCAGTGTCTAGGCCGGTTGTAAATCATCTGGTGGATTCCCATGGTCTTTTGTTTCCAAGCCCAGACTACAAGCAAATCTTGCTTTGGAGAGAGAGGGAAAGAGAGAGGGAGGGAGGGAGGGAAAGATGCCGGGAGAGGGAGAGGAAGAGAGAGAGAGAGAGAGAGAGAGAGAGAGATAGAGAGTGTGTGGGGAGGGAGAGAGAGAGAGAGGGGAGAGATAGAAAAATAGGGAATCTGCAAACAAGATCAGGTTTGATTACAAACATTTCATTTTTTGGTTACATAGAGAGAGAGAGGAAGAGAGAGAGAGAAAGAGAGAGAGAGAAAGAGAGAGGGTGAAAGAGGAGAGAGAGAGAGAGAGAGAAGGAGAGAGAGAGAGAGAGAGAGGGGAAGAAAAAAGTGAATCTGCAAACAGATCAAGTTTGAATACAAACATTTCATTCATTTATTGGCTACATTGTGAATGAAAGCAAGCCCCGGTCAATGGGGACGAGAAATCAGAATGAAGGATGTAAGCAAACAAAGAACGTAAAGAAAAGTGAAGAAGAATGAAAAGATGGTGGGAAAAAATGTAAATCACAGATTTGTTGCTCCTGCTTTTTCCCATGCTCTCATTTCTATTCTGTCTTTTTTCTTCTCTTTTAAGGTTATTATCCAGTGTCTGTTTACAGAAGTTTTGTTTCTACCCTCTTTTGTTCTCTTATCCTAACTTTGATCTGGTTTTATACCGCTGTTTGCTTTTTTATTTCACCCATCGTGTGACTGTGAAGTGTCCCCCTTTCACAGCTCTCCGTGTTTACAAAGATGTTCCTAAATAAATACAACCTATAAGGATGAATAGTTTCATATAATATAGTATTTGTACATGGGTGCTGAGGTGTTCTGTATTGCAGATAGTGTTTCTGAATACAAATGATTTAATGATGAATAGCTTCTAAGTAAAAGCATTTGTACTGCTACTAAAGTACTTTGTAGCTACAAAGATGTTCTCATTTATATTCATGGGACCTTTTTATTTGTTGGGGGGGGGGGGGATCTATTATCAGTAAATTGACAATTTAGAACAACACATGATGTATTTCATTTTCTCTGTCTCTCTCTCCCCCTCTCTCTCTCTCTCTCTCTCCATTTTTCACTGGTAAATATTTGTTTCGATCTTTATTTTCTTCAATGCTAATGATTTGTATATCTCTCTTTTGTATCTTTGCCAATAAACAGCCTGCAAGAAAAAGGAAGACGATGCCAAGAGCCCCTCGCAGAACAGTCACATCAAGAAACCACGCCTGGTCTTCACCGACCTCCAGCGCCGCACCCTCCACGCCATCTTCAAAGAGAACAAGCGCCCTTCGAAGGAGATGCAGATCACCATCGCACAGCAGTTGGGTCTTGAGCTCAGCACCGTCAGTAACTTCTTCATGAACGCCAGGAGGCGGAGCCAAGACAAATGGCAGGACGAGATGGGCGGGGTTGGTGGTAATGTGGGCGGGGCACCCGGAGGAGGCGGACAACATCCCAACCAGGGCTCTCTAACACCAAAGTCAGAGTACAAGGCGTAGGAGTCACGGTGATGATGACATGGCTGGGGCACTTGAGAGAGATAGGCGGGGCTGTGGTATCCATGCGTTTCTCTCTACCAAAGATCGTCATTGCCTGTGCTGGTCCGAAGAGCATGTGTGTGAGCTATTACTCTTTTCCAAAAGCCTAAGTCGAGTCGGGATCGACCTCGCCAGTAGACCTGAACCAAAACAGCATCAGCTTCGAGAAACCCAAGTCTACATCATCAGATCAAAGGCCTTTATACCTTAAGCTGCTCTGGTTGACTCCTATCTCCTGCAACCACTTCAAGGAGCATCTACCGCCGACCCTCCAAGGTAGTGGTGCGGTCTGCTGTTACCATGGCGACGATGTTGCATCATCGTTTGGTCATCTGGATGGACATTCAAAGGCTGGAGAATGATTTATTTATTTCCATTGGAATCTATCAAACTACTTTCTACAGGGTTGGACTAATTTATTTCTATAGTGTGCTGTGTGCAAAAAGGGTTTCTTTTCCGTCTTGAGGCTATAAGTGCAGTGTGCAAAATGGGCGGGGCTATCTCTGTATTTCTTTGCTAATGCCTGCATACATTATTACTTGGACATATCACTCATGTATACTGAATATCAGCATTTCTTGAAGCAAATTATTTCATATCTTTTGCCTGACAGCACATTTTTATTCTTGCTCATCAAAATTGAAATCAAATTTAACATTTTACTGGCTGAAAGTTGTTCTGAAATTGAAACATTGGGCTGAAATTGTAGGATGCAAATTGCAATATGTTTTGCACAATGGTGAAATAAGTAAATTGCTATAAAACAAAAATGCTTACACATTATTTATTTAACAGAATGAACAGAAAAGTGTTGTTAACATTTTGCTGGGGTTATGGTCTACAAGTAGAGATTAAAGCTCTCTGGTCGTTAGAGGGCAACATTTCACTTGTATTCTCTACTGTAAAGGCACAGTGAGAGAATTTAGAATGTGTGCTCTTCAAAAATGGAGATGAATTTTCTGCAATAAAATTTGGATGTTTTCTAAGTTTTTCATGTCTACCTCTACATGTTGAGAAAAAAAAGAAGATAATGAGATGTAAATGTATTCAGATTAGAAATAGAAATAGATTATGAATATTCATTATCTATTTGCATATTAAGAGATTATAGTGTACGTTAGTGGTATGCATTTTGGCTATCAATGGTGAATTGTGTTTAAATTATTTCACATTCTGTCTAACTGTCCATTATTTGAACTAAAAGTATTCTTTTGTTTAAACTCTGCTCAATTTCCTTAAATTAGCTTAAAAACTAGTTGCAATTCATAAAATATTTACAAAAATATTCATTATAATTGTTGTTATGAATGCTTTGCAATAAATGTTTTATTATCAAGGGATATATATTTCCATATGTAGCCTGAAATATTTCATAAAATGTTTATTCATGATGGTTTTTCCACTTTGGTCGAAACATACATTCCCATAATGGATAACCATTCTACTAATATCATTCTAAACTTTTCATTATTCCGAATTTTGACTGATATTTGTGTTAAAAACCCTTTGCAAGGGAGCTTAGCATTCTATGACAGTATGTGTACCAATGTAGCGAAAGAGGCTGGGAGATCTGTTATAGAATTTGTTAGAAATTACCAAGAGATTTTGAAGTATTTCTAAATTACCATATTTCTTTCACATTCCATAAGTATTGAAATCTCTATTATATGTATATCTGCTTCGTGAGAAAAGGATGATTTTTGAAATATTATTTATTCACTGTATTATTATGTTCTTACATTTTGTGTGCTGTGCAAAAGTAGAGACTTTGTAAATCTCAACACGGGGGCAATTATTTGAAGGAAAAAGTATTTTACATGTACACTGTATTATGAGTAGACTTTTTTTTTTCACCATTCCACATACTTTTGTTCATACACATTTTGCAGTGCAGTTTAATAGTTTGTAGATGAAATAGTTAGCCAATGACTTGTGTCTCTAGTTGTTTAATTTCATTATTTTGTTTCCATTTCATACTATTTGCCAGTGTGAAAGAATTAGTCTTTATTTCAGACCTTGTTGCTGCATTATATGGTTGTTTGAAGGTATGACAAAGAACCTTTTTTTTAAAGCCATCATTTTGACCAAACCTAACAAATCTGACTTGCATTCTAAAACATTCATAATGTTTTTATTTGTGTAATTTCATCAGACCTGTCCCTTAGAAAATACATTTCTTTTAACCTTTGAGAATTTGAGATGATTCTAAACATTTTCACAATTAACATCAAAGTTACCCAAAGCTAGAACAGCTGATAAATTGGCTTTAAGTGCTTAAACAAAATTTTGATCAGGTTTCAGTTTGAAATTGCCCATTTCTAACTATTTTTCCTTTTGTTAGAGAAAAAAAATGAAGTAAATACTGAAAAAGCGATAATTCTTGCCTCTTTGATCTCTAATGCCGTTAAAGCCATTAAATTGGCCGTTTGAAGCCAGAAGGTTATTAACGCATACATTAATAGTGCATTGACCCCTTTCGGGCTTCAAGCAGCCAATAGAGAGAGAGATCCAGCTTTGCCAGTCATATTGCAGCAGGCATTTTTGTTTTGGAGTGCTTTTTTAAACCATATTTTCTCAATTTCATGTCCCAATAAGTAATTGAATTTAATCATAATCTTGATATAAAAAGTTTTTTGAATATACTTGTACAACAAGGGAGTTTCAATCTTCTGTTTTTGTCAAGTAGTGAATTTGCATGTGCCATTTACATTAAGATCAACCACTATGGTAACATCTGCCATTTTGTGTTGATGAGTTTTAGCTATTTATAAATCAATATAAATCGTTAATCTATTTTGCTAATTGCCTACAGAAAAGCTTTAGCAAAACATAGTTAACTTTTCATTTTTATTTTGTCTTTCAATGTCCTATCATATTCTTGTCCTTTAAAACATTTTGATTAGCATTTTTTTTGGAAGGGGGGGGGCGATTTGTTTGATTTACCTCTGCTGTTAAAATGAAATGTGAAATTCGATTTGTGAAATGTTAAATCTATAAATTGCCATATGAGAAAAGCAGGGTCATTTTTGTAAAGGAGATATTTGTTATAAATTGTGTTAGTCTGATTTTGACAAAAAGGCTGTATCCATTTCTCTTTTTAAGTGTAGATAATATCCCCAAACTATGTTATTTGTATATATTGTACCAGAGTTGGAAATTACCTTTTATTGTGAGTGACAATTTTCTTTTTTTAAACAACCAAAATACCTGTGTGCGTGTGAGTTTTTGTGCAATATAAATTTGTGTATATACACAATATGATGCTAGTGCTTTCTTATGGTATACCATTCATTTTTTCCTTTCATTTTTTGTTGCAATTGCGCATTCCATTACTGTGCATTCAGCTTTTTATCATCATTTCATTTTATTTATTTATTGTTTTTTCTTTTTTGAAATGACATTTTATTTTGTGGTGACAATCTTAGTATCGAGTAAATTATTTTTACAAAGTTGTTTAATAATGATTCTTTAGAGGCAGAAAGGCGCGAGTCGTATCATTTTGTCTAAATTTCATGATCTTAGTGTACTTATTGAATGTTCAAAGTCATAGCGTTGACCTTAATTATTGTAATTCTTGACATAAATCTAATATTAGAGAGGGGGGGGGGGGGGGGCGGGCGAGGTGTATAATTTGTCTAGTTCACATATTTTGTATCTGCTACAAAGTTTGAATGACAAGCAAGGTCACGTCCTTTGACCTTCTACTTGGGACAAGGTCACTTAATTTGACCTTTTACTTAAGACAAGGTCACATTTACACTCTTTTCTATTGGTTGTGCCTTTAATTCTCGTTGGGTATCTACATCTTTGTTCTTTAGAGAATTATGCAATTTTCTTTTCCCTCACCATACCCCCTTTGCTGTTCAAACCTATTTTCTGTCGCGATCTAGTTGGAAAAGGGGAAATATAGGTGAAACTTAGTCCATTGATGTTTTTAGTCTATGTGCACTGTACATGCTTCACAGTATGGACTTAATTATGTGGCATAAACTTAAAAAGCGTTAGAATTTTGTCTGTATTTTTAATAGCAATGACAGTAAACAGATTTATCCTTTCACTTTTGCATTGTATTAGCACATGCCTGCATGCGCTCCATTTGGGTACCTAAAAATATGACTCTGCTTGCAAGCAGGAAGACTGTATTGAGTTTTGCATAGAGATTAATGTCTTTATGCTACTTAATCTTCAATTTTCTGTTCTGGTTAATGTTATTTTTGGTCAACTATCCCTGTAGGCCTACACTGGCCATTGTGGTATTGTTTTTTTTCTTTTTTTCTGCTGTTTTTCTCAAGTTTTGATCTGTAAATTTTGACATTTTTTTGAAGATGTTAATATATGAATGATGTATAAAATACAATGTTTGGAGAGAAATAAAAAAAGTTCAAAAAAAGTTTGCTCTCAGGAAAAAAAAACTCTTTGAATATTTGTTTTGTTTATAAAGTTGTGTATGGTGTGAAAGAGGGGGGATTGCAAGACAACACAACACACAGAAGAGAAAGACACTCAAGAGATTGAGAGAGAGAAAGAGAGAGAGAGAGAGGGGGGGGGGGGTGGACTAGTCTGCAAGCACAGACCATAATTTGACACTTTATCAATCATTGTGCCTTGAGAGAAAGCCTAGCTCAGCTACCTACTGGTTGTGGTGTCAGGAGCAGCTACAGTACATGGCCTATGGTAGTCTTATAGTGCAGACTCATTTTAACGACTGACCAGGGTTTGTGCTTGCAGACTAGGAATGGACAGAGACAGAGAGAAACAGACATATATACTGAAAGAGAGAGGGAGGATACATAATAAGAAAAGCAGAGTGTTTGAGAGAGGGAGAGAAAGAAAGAAACAATTGAAACTATGTGAAAAAGAAAGAAAAGAAACATGAAGGTCGTAGAGAGAGAGAGAGAGAGAGAGAGAGAGAGAGAGAGAGAGAGAGGATGATCATTTTACAAATCAAAAGAAAAAAAAAACACAAATCAAAAGGAAATTGAAAAACACAGATAATCACATTTTTTGTCAATGATATTATCAAAGATATCAATGACTATGTTAAATTACACTTCTGTGTCTGTGTACATTATAAAAATAAATCCCTTCATTTTAACATCTTTTCACCACCCCCCCCCCCCCCCTCTTAAAGTCTAGTTTATTTTCTCTCCTGCATAATCTCAATCTCTATTTCTTCCAGTCTGTCTCTATTTAATTTGTTTAATATCTGACGGTGTCTATTATGCCATGTCCCCACTCTCTCACCCTCTCTTTATTCATCTTTCTTTACTTCTTTCCCTCCTTATGTTTATATTTATATATCTTCATCTCTCCTTATCCCTCCTCTCTCTGCTCCAGCAAAACATGATTCTTAAATATTGCTCTATAGGCCCAAAAGAAATTCTCAAATACCTTCACATTTTTATAACAATTAGTGCTCTTCTGTTTCCAAGTAGGTAATCACTGTACATATACATAATGAAATCAACAGAAAAGAATTATACATCTTTGTAAATTTTTATTATTTCTCTCTTTTGTCTTCTCCACAATGAAAGAAAAACAAAAAGACACAAAACAAAAACAAAACATACCATGAAACACTGAAAACATAGACGTACATGCACCAACATATCGAACCACGACAAGCACAAAACACGATGAAGACTCCTTATGTGCAATGCACATATCAAAATAAACTTTCTTGAAAAAAATTATATGATCCAACCAAGACAATTAGTTAATTTGCAGACACTTTCTTACCAATATTTGGTAATCTCTATGGCATATTGCCAAGAAAAATATAACGTCCGCTGAGCGCCGAAAGGGTGTTATCTCGTATCTTTTAAAACTTAGAGAAATCGTCCTTTCTGCGCTCAACGGAGGCAACATGACACTGCTTCGACCACAACATAATTTGAAATCGAACCGACAACATATTTTAAGGCAATTCTTGGGTAGCATTGTCAGTACTGCGTTATCGTAACCTTGTTTCCCCTCTCAAAAATATAAGGCAAACCACCCCTAAACATAAAATGCACTCAACCAGGTTACATGCATTTATCACAAGACAGGTTATTCAATTAGCAAAGCTGGGGGGAATAAAGAAATAGAAATATATCAAAGACCAAATTATTTCATTATGGATAAGCTAATGCTATCGTTTTGCAATGGATGGTATAAGAAAGATGGCTTAGTGTTACTCTGTTAATGTAATAAGTTTGCTTTTTTGTTTGGTTAACATCTATTGCTGCATTTTACAAATTGTTTTGAGACCTCTACATTATCCCCTTGTGTTAAAATGGGCAAAATGCTATAAATTAATGTTATCCGATACCATCAGTTCATTTGATATCTAAGAAATCATCAGTGTTCAAGAGCTTTTCTTGCTTCCTATTTATGCTGGTTTGCAATTATTCCCATGGAACATGAAACACAAAATCAAATTAACCCTACATCCAACCTGAGGTGATGGCAAATTTGATATATTGAAAATATTGAAGAAAAAAAAAGTGTCTCTTTCAGTATATCAAAATAAATGAGCAAATATTATGCAACTAATTCTCATAATTCCTAGAGTTTCTGAGAATATTGATCAAGCTTTGATACTGAACTACCCTTGCTGTTGCTTAAACACATCAAGACTTTGTAACTATTTTGGGACATCCTTTACATCTTTGACTTTGAAAAGAACCAATGTTTTTATGACAACACATAAAATTTATTAGAATATTAGGCATTAATACACATTTTCTTCTCTTACATCATAAAGTTGAGCTGTATTTCTTTCTATATCTTTTACTGTCACATGATTCTAAATTCCATATTTTTAAAACATTTGATGGAATGTGCACTTACATAAAAATATTATTTTCTTCAATTCTATATTGATATTAGACTCCCAAATTCATTTGGGAACCATTGATCTATTAAGGTACAGTCATACCTGCTTTAGCGACCACCTGTCTACAGAGACCACCTTAAGCACTTAGAGACTTTGGTGGTAAGCGCTTTATAAGCACTGTTTTTATCATTATTATTCTGTTTTCCTTGAAATTGGATTCTTATTGAAACCTGTACTAAAGGAACCTGTATAGAAAGACCACCTGCTATTCCTTAAAGGGAGGCTTTACTACTTCAGCTAGAAGGGATTAGACCACCCAGTGAGCCATCGAGGTCACTGTGACAGGTGGCTATCTCATTAACTCAGCTCTCATTTAACATAAGAAAAAGAGGATCATGGGGGACCAACAGGCACCGATTTGGGAAGTTTTCTATGTAGAGGGAGCAAGTAGCTACAAGTAGGACAGTGTGCCTTTAATGTTCCCGCCTCAGCTCTGTTCTTGGTTTCCTTCTTGGCCTCTTGGCTTCTACTTTTCCATGCAATAAATCTTTCGAGAAGATTTTTGAACCAAGTGCATATTAAAGTATGCTTGATCTAAAACATTTGTTGCATAGGTTTTAACTCGTTCACGGAGCAATAACTTTTCAAATAGTGGAGCTGTACTGTACCATCCATGTACAATTACATGTAATTGGTGGGTATCCTATAGAAACAGTGAATGATGAAGATCACTTGAAACTCCTATTCACAGACAGGCCAGATGTACAACTAACAACTAAATTATTCATATCCCTACCAAGTTTTGGAATTTTTAAAGATGGTCATGCGTGGGTACATGTATATAGTCGTTCGTGAAGTAGGCAACTTGCCGATCACTACATAACGCTGAGCCAATGTGTATTACGCTCCCGTGCGTACATGTACGTTCGTGTGCTGCCCTCTATATACCCACGCATGAGCAACTTCGAAGTAGGTGAACAATTTATTTGTCCCAATTTGTTGTTTCTTGAGAATGTGACATATCAAAGCTTACATTTAAGAGTATTCAAGGGCTGTAATTCAACCAGTCAAACTTTCATTCTTGAGTTATGACAAAAATATTAACGAGTGTGAATAAATCAGTTGTTAACTGTCTGTATGGGAGGATGGCAAGATCTTTTCTTTCCAGTACATAGCAGACGTATGAATGCACATGAAATGAACCCACACAAAGGTTTGTTCAGACATGAAAGCGTAAATTCATTTTTGGAAAACGTGTAAATAAATGGCAATTGCTCTTAGCAAATGTACTACGCCTAATCACTGAGTTCTGTAGTAAAACATAAAGATAATGTAAAGCATTTTACTCTTCCATCATAACAAAAATAATTAGAAAAAAAAACGTTATCTTAATGAGCCTTAAAACGTACTCACAAAGTACAGATCTGAGGGATTGGAAAGTTGTAC